CCCCCAGCCGCGGCCGCCGCGCCTCGGGAACTAGGCTCAGACGCCCGGCCCCGCCCACACCGTGCCCATTGGCCACCACCGCCGCCACTACAGCATCCATTGGCCCAAGCGCACGTCCATCTGGGACGCAGGCACCGCCCCCCTTCCTGCTTGTTTCCGCGAGACGTTCTTAAAGGGGCCGAGGCCGCCGTGCGACCGGAGGGGGCGGGGCGGAGGCACTTGGCTCTGAACCAGTTCATTTGCGATTCTGCGCTTTGAACCTGCGCGATTCACCGCTCCGGTGTAAGCTTCGTACTGTCCATCTGCGAGATGGGGTTAAATACCACAATCTATGCACTCTCACCTTGGGGGCTGTTAGGAGGAAAATAATATTTCTTTAAAGAGTTCTGCAAAAACACACCCTTAAGTCCTAGTTATGGATGTAGACCCGAGGCCCTGACAGGAAAAGACGTGCTTAAGGGTACACATAACTCACACACACATACACACACACACACACACACACACACACAGACACACACACACACACACACACACACCCCGCTACGCTGCGTGGTCTGTTTAATCCCCAAAAGGTTGCCTGGTGCATACCGGAGTTATGTCTAGGTGAGCGACTGAGTGAGCACGGCCGCTGGGGGTAGTTCCTCCTCCCTGCACCCTCTGGCATTTGGTGATAAAGGTGTCCACTTCCCAGGGCGAAGGTGGCTGCCTCGATTAGATGGGTTTTTATGGATCTTGTTTTGAAAGGGGGGGGCACTTACTCCTCCTCGCTCTATTTTCTTTCCTTCCCAGCTTGTTCTTTTGCTTCTGACCCCCTCACCCATATCTGCTCCTTCCTAGGAGGAATTTTGCTTCTTTTGTCCCATCTCCTTTAATGATGCCTAGCACCGTTAACAAATCATTAAATAAATGAGTGAGACACTGGCTTTGGAAGTAGGTGACACTGGAGAAGGAAACTGGCTTTGGGTGGTAACTAACTTGTTAGATCAGAGCTTGGAAGTCACCTCATACAGGAAACCCGACCAGATTTCCCCAAAGCAAGGCCAGGTGCTGGGATTGGCTGTTCTAGCATGCTGAACCTCCACTTCATAACTGATTTCTTTCTGTGCCATCACTTGGCCTTACTTCTGCTTCACCCACTAGACTGGAAGACCCCCAAAGTCTGGAAAGGGCCTGTAGTTTCTCATTATCTTAGCCCTGAGGCCTATACTGCACATGACACAAAAGGTGGGGAAAATAATTGTGGAAGGAAGGAAGCAGGCTGGCCAGCCAGAAGAGGTGGGCGGGTAGGAGGGATATGTGAGAAACTGTATGGAAAGAATATCAAATAAACACTGAGCCAGTCCCAGCCCTGTCCATTTCTGTACCTCAGTGTTTTTATCTGTAAAGCAGAATCATCCACCCAGCCCCAACTCTGTCACAGGGACTGGTGGAAATGTAGTAAATAATACTAATACATGAACAACTAAAATAAACAAATATAACCTAATAACACCAACAATTATAACAGTAATAATGGCTGACACTCAGGTATCACAGGTATAGGCAAACATTCTATATTCTACATGTATTTAATCCTCATATTAGCCTTATGAGACAAATACTAGTACTCTTGATATTTGGAATCCATGTCATTGGCTGCAGAGTTGAAATCTTCATATCTTCCTGGTGAAAGGAACTTGTGATTGTTGTGATGTGCCCTTGTTGACTCCATGCTTCTTGCCTTAAGAGTGGATTTTTTCTGATATTAATATTGCACACCTGTTCCTTCTTGGTTCATGTTTTTTTTAAATATATATATTTTTTTATTGATTTTTTACAGAGAGGAAGGGAGAGGGATAGAGAGTTAGAAACATCGATGAGAGAGAAACATCGATCAGCCGCCTCCTGCACGCCTCCCACTGGGGATGTGCCAGCAACCAAGATACATGCCCTTGACCAGAATCGAACCCGGGACCCCTTAGTCCGCAGGCCGATGCTCTAGCCACTGAGCCAAACCGTTTAGGGCCTTGGTTCATGTTTGAAAGGCTCCATCCTTTTCTACCCCTTATCTTCCATCTTTCTGTATCCTTATGTTGTGCATGTCTCTCTTGAAAGTAGTATAGAACCAGTTTTTGTTTTTTGATCCATTCTGCCCATCTTTGTCTTTTTTTAAAAATATATTTTATTGATTTTTTACAGAGAGGAAGGGAGAGGGATAGAGAGTCAGAAACATCGATGAGAGAGAAACATCGATCAGCTGCCTCCTGCACACTCCCCACTGGGGATGTGCCCACAACCAAGGCACATGCCCTTGACCAGAATCGAACCCGGGACCTTTCAGTCCGCAGCCAACGCTCTATCCACTGAGCCAAACCAGTCAGGGCATCTTTGTTCTTTTTACTTGGGGCATCAGATCTCTTTAACTTTAATACAGACATGTTTGGACCTAAATCTGCCTTCTCAAGGGGTTTCTGCTCCGTGAATACCGTTCTTTATGGCCCGTTTTCTCTCCAATGGCCTTCTTAAGGATTGGATGCTTGTAGTTTGGAAAGATTCTTACTATCCTCATTCGACAAATGGGCAAACCAAGGCACAGAGAAGTTTAATTATCTTATTCAAGGGTTACTTACGAAGGGCACAATGGGCCAGGTCTCTTCCTCCACTGACCTTCTATTCCAGCCAGGGAGCTAGATACTGCACAAGCAATAATGTAAATAAGTATCTAATTTCAGCTGTGATGAGTGCTATGTAGAAAATAAAACTGAAAAATGTGGCAGAGAGAGGCTTCTAGTCCCCAGACTTAGACCTTCCCATCACCAATGTCCCCATCACTGGGCTGGCTGAGTGTTTCATTCACTTCCCATCCTCTCCCTCAAACAGACAAAGGAGAAAAATATTTTTCTTGTCTCCACTCCACTGACACAAAACATTTGGGACTGGCCAAGTCCCTTTTGGTGTCAATATACAGCCCCACTCCCTTCCAGGACCCTCATAAATGTTTCCTGGCCTTTAACTGAGCCCAAGAGACCCATTGAAAAGCTTGATTTATCCAGCCTGGGTCTCTTCTGCTGCAGCCTGCACACAGAGCCATGGTTTCACTTTTCCCGGCAGCCCCCAACCTGGACTCCTCCCAGCACTGGCTGCTGTCTGCATCACTGAGCTCCACAATTCTTACAAAGAGCAAGTCCTATGTGCTTTCCCACTATGCTACCTTTGCTCCTGTGATTCCCTCAGCCCTGAATGAATGTCAGCAACTAGAATACTCCTAATCCTACCTCAAAATCCCATCCAGATATACTTGCTTCCTTGTACCCAAAAATGTACCCCACTCTTCAGGTTCCTCTAGCTTTGAGTCTCTCCTCCTTCTAGCCCAGGACTGTGGCATTTGGGGCTGGGAATGTTTGTGTCAGACTCTGTCTCTCTTTGCCCTCCAGGGCTAGGCAGGGACTGGATGAAGTACTCTCTGGATCCCCAGAATATGGGCCACATCGAGAGGGGGTGTTTAGAGGGTTTAAAACTGTTTGTTAAACTGAATATATAAGAATCTTGGGCCAAAAACCGGTTTGGCTCAGTGGATAGAGCGTCGGCCTGCGGACTAAAGGGTCCCGGGTTCGATTCCGGTCAAGGGCATGTACCTGGGTTGCGGGCACATCCCCAGTAGGAGATGTGCAGGAGGCAGCTGATCGATGTTTCTCTCTCATCGATGTTTCTAACTCTCTATCTCTCTCCCTTCCTCTCTGTAAAAAATCAATAAAATATATTTAAAAAAAATCTTCATCCTCGTTAACTTTTCAGTGAATGAAGGCAGCAGTGTGTGTGTGTGTGTGGGGGGGGGGTAATAATACAGTTTACCAAGGGCTTACAGTGGGCCAAGCCTGTTGTAAGGAACTTACATGCATGATTTTATAAAGTTAAGCCACTTGCACAAGGCCATCAACTAGGATGTGACAGAATTGAAAATTAGAACTCAGATGTGTCCAATTTCAGGGCTCTTCAAGAGTCTTCTATGTGCCCACAGGCATGTGTGTATCTCCCAAGCTTTCAACAACCTTAAGGAGCAGATGCTGCGATCATCCAGGCTCACAGTTAACAAACTGAGAACCAGGAACATTATAATGTAGCATACACATACTGTAAGGCCTCAACTAATGATAATGAATTGTTAGCATTTATTGAGCAATTACTATTTGCCCCATTTTGCTCATGATTTTCAGTACAAATATAGTAGTAAATAGAGATGTGTGTATGCATGGGTTAATAGACATACAAATCTAATTCTGACAGCTGAGAGAGTCTCTAAGCAGTGAGCACACCCAGCACTCAGAGCCTGGTTTTTAAATACCAGTCTATAAAAAAAGGAACCAGGCTTCTTGGAGAAATGGCTGATTCCAACAATATTCCAAAACAAGCAAGGAAAAAGTAAGGAAATGCTCAGAGAAAGATGGAGATATATTAAAAGAAATAGGAGCTAACTTAAAGGAGCAGCAAAATAAATAATATAGAAATTAATTATAACACACAGAATAAAAGGTATTCACTAGTTCATAGTGATATAAATATGTGACTAAATACATAATTGGAGAATGGACAGCTCTTGTTTAAATAGAATTACAATTAAAAACATATACACACAATCACTATTATACAAACATCATAGTAATAATTGTTGCCGGAAAGAGCCATGGATAGATGCTAAAACTAGTGGATGAAAAAAATTTTTAATGTTAAAAAAACACACACACACACACACACACAAAGAAAACCTAGGGTCACCCTAGCTGGTTTGGCTCAGTGGATAGGGCGTCAGCCTAGGGACTGAAGAGTCCCCTGTTGATTTCGGTCAAGGGCACATGCCCGGGTTGCGGGCTAGATCCCCAGCAGGGGGCGTGCAGGAGGCAGCTGATCAATGATTCTCTCTCATTATTGATGTTTTCTATCTTTCTCTTTCCCTTCCACTCTGAAGTCAATACAAAATATATTTAAAACAAAACACTATGGTCTTTGCATGGTCTACGGTATCTCCCCATAAGATACTTATTAATTGCAAAGGCTAAAATAATAACTTGATTGAGAAACTGGCAAGACACTGCCAAAAGCAAGTCATCCATCAGTCAACATAGCGTGCCTTCTAATATGATGCATTGAGGACACAACATCGCTTCTATGATTCCTGCCTAAACTCCTTAATTTCAGTCTAATCCTGAGGAAACATTGGCTAAGCCTATATTGATAAGTATTCTACAAAAGCAGTAGTCTTCAAAAGTATCAAGGTCATAAAAGATTAAGAAAGACTGAGGAACTGTCACAGAGTGGAGGAGTCTAAAAAGATGTAACTAAATGGGATCCTGCACTAGAAAAAAAAAAAAGGCAGCAAAAAGCAGAGTAGGGATTTTTGAACCCAGATGAGTCTGATTCCAAGCCTGGAATGCAAGACACTTGAGTCTGGGTCAATCACAGGCCACTGGAGCATTGGGGAACTGCCTGCCGCTCTCAGACCTGTCTTACCATCTATAAAATCGGATGTCTTTCTGCCTCGTCCACCCACTTCCGCTTTGCCTAGTAGCTCGGGCTTTGGAAACTACGCAGGCGCGATAGGGACGGCTCGACTGGCTGTGCATTGTGACGCACACGCGAACGGGAGCTGCGTATGAGCCCCACCCCTTCCTGCCGCGCCTCCACGTACCCAAGTTGGTTCCGGGATTCTAGCCTCCTCGCTAGCTCGTACGCAAGGTGCGTGGTGACGTCACGGCGACGCGGGCGCCATCCCGGAAGCGCAAGCAAGGCCGCCAGATGTGCAGGTGCCGCTGCCACCGACGCCGGGGCCGAGTTTGGGGTGGGGCCGGGGCCGCCGGGACCGCTGGGGAGCCAGGCCAGGTCGGGCGCGGCCCCCGGGCTGTCGCGGGGTGGGGAGTGCCACTGGACACTTCTGGGCACCTCTCCTGTACACAGGCCTCAGTTTCCCTGTATGTTCAGTGGATCCGGGTCCGGGGTGCAAGAGCTGGGGCCGCCTGTGTTCAGACTGGGCAGTGTCACCCAGAATCGGGCATTGCTCTGCTTGGGCCTGTTTCCCGCTTTGCAGGGGTGGGGCGTGAGGGTATATGCGGGTCCCGCCCCCACTTCGGGGTTTTGCTGAGCTTGGGTGGCCAAATTATTTTGTTAAATGACCTGGGTGGAATCATGGCGCCTCGACTCCTCGCCATTTGACCTTGGGCGACGGAGCCCACCAATGTGAGCTTTAGTTGCCCTCGGAGAGGAATGATAGTGTCTGTCTTGTAGGGGTAATTGGGGATTAAATTTACTCATATTCTTGGAAGCACCGGGGAGGCCCTCCTCAAAACCCTAATTCCCACGTCCGTCCTAGGACTTCTTTACACTTCCCTTGGAGAAACGGCCTACTCTATAGTTCAACTTTTTATCACTGTTGGGACCGTCACAGAGTGGAGTCTAAAAAGATGTAACTAAAAGGGATCAGCACTTTGAGATTCTGATTTTTTTACCATTTTCTGGATGAAAATGATTGAGGTGAGGTGACTGTCGCGAGGTCACACAACTTCCCTCTCTGCGTGTTTCCCTCAAATATATTTGGAGCAGGGCCCAGATACCTTTTTGGGTCATTTCCACCCTTTTTCGATCCAGACTGTTAGTCAAGGAAGCCTTCCTGAGAGAGGCAGCTGGGAGTGGAGGGATGTGCCTTGAATCCCTCACATCTGGAAGCCAGATACAGGAAAGAGCCCTACTTTGAAGCAGAACCATTTCCTGCAGGTCCAAATCCTGCCTGCCAGACTTTAGCTATGGGTCCCCCCCGACACACACACACATGGCTCTGACCTTTTAGCCTAAGTATCCTGTTTATACATGAACATGCTTTTCTTGAAATGTAGAGACTGGATGCCTGTACCTGGCACATGGTGGGAGCTCAGTAAACAGTGATACTGGCAGAGGGGTAGGGTTTCACCAGGTGTGGCAGCTTATTTCCAGAGGCAGGTGGGAGCTGCAACCTGCTAGCCAGATTCAGGGCACAAATCCTCTTGGCCTCCATGATGTTTATTTGCTAACATTTGTAAGTTAGACGATTTCAGGGCACAAATACTCTTGGCCTCCATGATGTTTATTTGCTAACATTTGTAAGTTAGACGATTTCAGGGCACAAATACTCTTGGCCTCCATGATGTTTATTTGCTAACATTTGTAAGTTAGACAATTTCAGGGCACAAATACTCTTGGCCTCCATGATGTTTATTTGCTAACATTTGTAAGTTAGACAATTTCAGGGCACAAATACTCTTGGCCTCCATGATGTTTATTTGCTAACATTTGTAAGTTAGACGATTTCAGGGCACAAATACTCTTGGCCTCCATGATGTTTATTTGCTAACATTTGTAAGTTAGACAATTTCAGGGCACAAATACTCTTGACCTCCATGATGTTTATTTGCTCACATTTGTCAGTTAGACGATTTCACAGAAGAAAAAAAACTTCCATTTTTTTCCTGGAAAAAATCAGAAGTCCGTTAAGGAAGCAACTGCTTTAAGGAGCTGCTGTGCTGTCATGGGTAGATACTGAACACCTCTGCAGATTCATGCCTTTGTAAATCCTGTGTACTATGGGCATTTGAGTTGTGACTCAGGTTTACTGTCTGTGATAATGGCCCAGTGGCTTAGTCTCTGAGCTTCAGTTTTCTCGCATATTAATATGTTAACAGTTCCCATGTATAAAGTTGTACCTTGTTTAGCTTAAAGTTGGTGCTCAGTAGAGGGTGGAGTAAGTGGAATCTGAAAGCCCTTTCTGTTCCGTGTGTAAATCTTTGCCAATGGCAAGTGGGCCTTTCTATTAGCCATTAAATGTGTGGGCCCAGAACCAAGCTATGTCGCAATTCTGGGATTTTCCTGAAGCCCCCCACCAGGAGGGTCAGTGCTAAAGCTGTGGCTTTCCTGCCCTGGCCTGATCCAGAAAGCCCCCACCCACTGGAATGGTTGTGTGTACCAGGGAAGGTGAGAACCACAGAGCCATCTGGGTTGCTGGGGCCCACAGCCTGGCTGCAAGGGCCTAAAATTCTTGGCTTTAATTTGGTGTTAAAAGTCTAGCGTCAGAGCAGAGTTTGGAAGGTCTTGTTTGCCTCTGCCAAATGAAGTTCTGGTGATCCCTTGATGTGAGCCAGGTTCTGGGCTGGGCTCTGAAGACAGCAAACAAGCAAGAGACACAGGCCTTGACTCTCTTGGAGCTGATATTGCTGTGGGATGACAGGCAAACAGGTCAACTAAGATAATTTCAGACAGAAATGAGCCAGTGAAACAAAACAAGGTGCAGTGATGAGAGTGACCAGAGTAGGGGTAGTCATCAAGACTTCCGGGAGAGAAGACCCTGGAGGTGGTGGTAATCTGAGGGGGCAGCCAAGCATGTTCTAGCTGTGGGGACAGCAGGTGCAAAGGCCCTGAAGTGGGACTGGGCAAAGGCGGGGGAGGGGGTTGGTGGGAGGAGGCAGGCAGATCAGTGCAGGTGGAAGGTGCCGGTGGCCTTGGGCACATTGAGAGTGGGTGTGGAGGAGAGATGGGATTCTGATGTATTTAGGTGCAAGTTACAAATATAACCTCCTGGAGTTCTCAAAAACCCTGCATTCCCAAGATGTCAACACTGAGGCTCAGGTGGCACGACTGACTCACTTTAGCAGCCTGTGGGGTTCCCAGCCCCTTCTCTTTGTCCCATCTTCCCCAGTGCCTGATGCAGACCGAAGCCTTTCTTCCTGCCTGTTTCAGGCAGTGGAGGAGGAGGAAGAGATGGATCCCCCGGCCTCGGCCTCGAGGGTCTTCTGCAGCCGCATCCTGAGCATGGTGAATGTGGATGATGTCAACGCCATCATCCTGGCCCAGAAGAACATGTGAGTGGTGGCCAAGGGCCCTGGGCCCAGGTGTGGGAAGGAATCCATTTTGCTGGCCAGCATTCTTGCCCTGCCCACCCCTACCCAGGCCCCACACTGGTGGTAAAATGAAGGAAATGAGCAAAGCTGCTGGCTGACTCCAAAGTAAATTTTTTCATGGCCTGAGGTGAGGCCGTGGCACAGGAAACAGGGCTTTAGGATGGTTTTGCAGCTGTGGATGGCTTGGCAAAGACTGCAGCAGCTCCTGTCCCACGGCTAGGGTAGAAAGTTGGGAGGATAGGCTGGGGGATATAAGGTAGCTGGTGGGCTGACTTCCTGTTGGGAGCCTGGTGTCTCAGAGCCCAGACTGTCTGCAGAGCACCTGGGTCTCTTGGAGGGACCATAAATGCCCTTTTGCTCTCCCTGGGCTTGGCACTATGGCTACTGCAGCCCCATTCTGATTTGGCCTGATCTTTGGGGAGGAAGGGCTAACGCAATCTTGGGGCTTCATTTTTGTATCTTTTTTTTTTTTAATCCTCACCCGAGAATATTTTTTCCATTGATTTTTAGAGAGAGTGAAAGGGAAGGAGGAGGGGGGAGAGAGAGAGACATATCCATTAGTTGCCTCCCACATGGGCCCCAACTGGGGATGGGGCTCGAACCTGCAATCTAGGAACAAGCTCTTGACTGGGAATTGAACCTGAGACCCTTCACTCCATGGGCCGACACTCTAATCGCTGAGCAAAACTGGCCAGAGCATTTTTGTGCCTTTAGGCTGAAGGTTTTCCCCTCCATTTGACACAGCATGAACCTGATACTCTTCTCGCTCTGTGACAAGGTTGCTGGGTATCAGCAATACTCCTCTTTCTCCTAGTTCTTTTCTTAAAAATATATTTTTATTGATTTCAGACAGGAAGGGAGAGGGAGAGAGATAGAAACATCAATGATCTGCCCTGGCCAGTTTGGTTCAGTGGATAGAGTGTCGACCTGCGGACTGAAGGGTCCCAGGTTCGATTCCGGTCAAGGGCATGTACCTTGGTTGCGGGCACATCCCCAGTGGGGGGTGTGCAGGAGGCAGCTGATTGATGTTTCTCTCTCATCGATGTTTCTGACTCTCTATCCCTCTCCCTTCCTCTCTGTAAAAAATCAATAAAATATATTTTTTTTAAAAAAAGAAACATCAATGATGAGAGAGAATCATTGATCAGATGCCTTCTGCATATCCCCCAGTGGGGATCGAGCCCCCGGCATGTGCCCCAACTGGGAATCGAACCGTGACCTCCTAGTCCATAGGTCAATGCTCAACCACTGAGCCATGCTGGCCGGGCTCTCCTAGTTCTTTATGTCAGATTCAGACCTGGCCCTGGAGAATTACTATCGTGAGGGGAGACAAAACCAGACACAAACCTTCCTGGCACCATGGTATCAGGGTTAGGCCAGAGAAACTATCTGAGGTTAAGGGAGTCAGAGGAGTCTGAGAGGGGCAGTGAAAGCTACATGAGAAAAGCACACGTGAGTAGGGTTTTGAAGTTTGAATAGTAGTTTGCCATGTGGCTCAATCAAGTAGAGCTTTGTAGGACAAGGGAATGGCACATGCAGAGGTCATGGAACAGGAAAAGGGCTTAGCATACTCAGTTGGCAGAGCCCTGGAGACTGACCAGAAGCATTGGTGGCCTCTGCTACCAGGCTGGACCGTTTTGAGAAAACCAACGAGATGCTGGTGAACTTCAACAACCTGTCAAACGCCCGCCTGCAGCAGATGAGCGAGCGCTTCCTGCACCACACGAGGACCCTGACGGAGATGAAGCGGGACCTGGACAGCATCTTCCGCAGGATCAGGTACGTACGTGGCCCCACTGGCCTCTGCCTCCCCCCGCCGAGGCCCGGTCCTCCCCTCCTCAACAGGGCCCTCCACCTAACAGAGTAACACATCAAGGGCAGATCCAACTCGCTTGTTTTTCAAGGCTTCATCTTGCACTTAGCATCCAAGATTTGAACTCCAGACATAAAAATCACAAAGTTTCTGAATTTGAATTTTATTTATCTTTTGAAAAAATGCAACATAGCACCAGACACATGATGCAAAAAAGGCAGGCAAAGAGCAAACAGTGAAAAGCCGGCCTCCTGCCCCCCTATCCCTCTACCCAGATTTTCTCTCAAGAAACATATCAGATTGCTGGGTTTTAGGGTATAGGAAGCCAGCATTTCTCACCTCCACCGACCTGCTCATTGGGCCTCAGCCTGGCCCTAACACAGACACCCTCACCGAGGGTGCCCACTCCGAGGGTGGGAGTTTTGCAGGGCTGAGTGCCTGGGCCTCTCTCCAGTCCAGGAGCACAGTGTGACAAGCAATGAGGGGGAAGTTCCCACCACCCACTCACCCAGAGCTGACAGCAAGGGTTGCTAGCCTGCATGTGGCCCAGCCTATCTGCTCAAGGGGTTCAGCCTATGTGCCTTCTCTTACCCTGCAGGACGCTGAAAGGGAAGCTGGCCAGGCAGTACCCAGAGGCCTTCAGCCGTAAGTGTCACCCAGGGCTCCTGTGCCCATGTCTGGTCTCTGCAACCCTTGGATGCCACCTTCTTGAGCCCAGGGCTGGCTTTTGGAAGGTCACTTCAGGGGCTGGTGGGTAATGGGTCCAAAGAGTCCTGGGACAGGGTCCCCTCTCTGGGGGGAGGTGGCAGGGACAAGAACAATAGCAATCCTTGCCCCAGTGAGTGCTACATACCCTTACAAATAGGCTGTTACCCATAACCAGCTGTGAGGTGGGGGCCGTATCCCCATTTCACATGGCAAAACTGAGGCCCAGAGGGGCACCTGCTTGTCAGAGGAAACACAGTGTTCCCTTACACTGAGCCTCAGTTTAACCCAGGTGCTGAATGGGCCAACAGCTCCCACCCCACAGACAACCAGAGGTATAGGCAGTGCCATTGCCATCAGCCCCAATTTGTCCAGGAGGGAGCTAAGGCAAGGGCAGGTGAGGGGCCCGACTCAGGTGACACAGTTGAGGGCAGAGCCAGGCTCAGGCTTGACCCCAGGACCCATATCAGCCTGATCCAGAGAACCTGAGTCCTTACCCCACTTTGGAGGCCTCCCACCTGCCTGGGCCTCAGTTCCCTCTTTTGTAAAATGGATGAAGTCATGCCCCATGGCAGGGTGGGTGGGGGTTGCTGTCAGGGGGTCACAGGTCCAGTTAATCCCTCATCATGGTGACTAAGCCAACTCCTGGGCCACCTTCCCCCAGACGTCCCAGAGGCATCCCTCCTGGAGGACGACGATGAAGACCCCATCCCGCCCAGCACCACGACCACCATTGCCACCTCGGAACAGAGCACAGGTTCCTGTGACACGAGCCCAGATACCATCTCACCTTCCCTCAGCCCTGGATTCGAGGACCTGTCCCAAATCCAGCCCAACTCCCCTGCCATCAGTGACCACAGCCAGATGGATGATAAGCAGATGCCGGGCCAGTAGCTCTGTTCCCAGGCACTCCAAGGGGTCCCAGGTCTCTCCAGGTGTCTGAGGTGGCAGCAGATAACCCTGCCTGGAAATGGTCAGCTTTGCCACCCTATTCTGTCACCCAGGGCACCCTGGGGGATAAGGCTCCCTCCCAGGATGGGGGAATCTGTCATTCTCACTCCTTCACTGAGGCTATTTTTCTCCTGCAGACCCTCTGCCAGGCCAGGGGTTGAGCAGCCAGCTGGAGTAGTTGGGCTGGGCACAAGGAATCTTTTCCAGAGCCAGGCCTGAGGTCTGCTCTGAACAACACTTAAAGGTTCCCAAAGACAAAAGCCAGATGTCCCCCATCTCAGCACCCCAGTCAGGACCTCCTTGAGGTGGACAAACACTATCATGTCTCAGTTCACGCCCACACCTACTAATTCTGGTCTCCCTGTCCCTTCCTCCAAGGAAAGTATTAAATACTTTCTCCAATCAGTATCTCAAGGAGGTTTCTGAAACAGGTGTAGAAAGCTCAAGACCATCCACTCAGCCCCAAGTGTGATAAAAGCCCACATTTGTCTGACCAAAGGTGTGAGCCCTGAGGGCCCTGCAGATCTCTCTCCCAGGGCCTCCGTGAAGCCAAGCCACCTTGGAAAACAGAATTTAACAGAATATTTTTGTATCCGATGTTTACAGATGCTGTTGGGAAGTTATCAATAAAAAGACTAAAAAGAGAAGGGTGTACCCAGCAGTGGCTTTCTTCCATCCTTGTGTCCATCAGCTCAGAAGGGGGACAAGTGCTGGAAGTGGGACAGGATGGGGTGCAGACATAATAACCCAGGTTCCTATAGCCATTGCTCCAACACTGTTCTTTACCTCCGCGATTTTCAGCCTTTTTCATCTCATGGAACACACAAACTAATACTAAAATTCTGTGGCACAACATAAAGTATATTTTTGCCGATATGAGAAAAAATGTTTTAAAAATTCTTGTGGCACACGGGTTGAAAATCACTACCTTACCTCCTTGAATAACTCCTCCAGATTTTAGTTGCTGGGTAGGCTCCTTGGGGAACTGAGATGGTCCCCTTCCCCATTAGAAACTCAGTCCTTGAATCTTTGAAGCACTTGCTTTAGCCTGATCCATAACGGCGCTGGGAAGAGTTCAAAGAAATGAAGAGGTACTCTGCCAAACCCACGAGTAACTTCTAGGACCCTAGAATCTTCTAGGTCCTCACCTCTTTCATACGCCCGCCACTTTTTAGCCATCCAGGAGTCTGCGAGGTCTCACCCCATATTCTTTTTAAATATAATGTTTTTAAATTGAGTTTGGAGAGACAGGGAGAGAAACAACCATGTGAGAGAGAAACGTTGATTTGTTGTTTCTTATATACGGGATGGAACCCACAACCTGGGCATTGCCCTGACCAGAAATCCAACCAGCGCACAGCAAGTCACTCAACCAACTGAGCCACACCGGCCAGGACCCCACCCCATTTTCTTGAGCCGATGCAGCAATCCTACCTGTTCTCCCTGCTCCCCAGGCGCGCCGCCCTCAAATCCATCAGCGCACAGCCGCCAGAAAGTTTTAGAATAACTAACTGGCTCCGGGTGTTAGGTACCTACGTGGCTCCCAAGGGTCCCAGGCCTCCTCCTACCTTTCCTGCTACACCCCCGCTTCCTATACCCGCAGACCCTCTGCTTAATGCCTGGATTTAGCACAAAAGTCTACCCCACCCAATAAGTACTCGAGTTCCCGCAACGTCGGGTCTTCAGCCGACCCTGAAACAGCGGGTAGAAACACCTGGTAGTGTGGCCGACTTCCCAGGTGACCCGGGGCGGAAGTGCACACCCGGAAGCAGGTGAGCGACACTCCCGGCTTCGTTCTCCAGCGCACAACTCGGCGGCGGGGCGGGGCAGGACGCGCGGCGCGAATTGTGACGCACGCGTGCAGCGTACTCAGTGCGCAGGCGCTCTCGGCGGCGATTCGACGGTTTCCGGTTCCGCCGTCCTCTTTCTCGTCAACGAGGCGGCGGAGCAGGTTGGTGGTAGTGTCCGTGCGGGTTCGCGTCGGATCGGGGTCGAGCGGGAGGTACGGGGCCGAGGCAGCGGAGGGGGCGGCCCGAATCCGTTCGTGCGGGCCAGGCTCCGCGGGTCGGCTAAGTAGCGCGTATTGGGCCGGTGTTTTGGGCCCCAGGAGGCGAACCGGCCTTTGGGAGAATGGCTTGCCCGCGCCGCCGGCTTAAGCTATCTGACGGGGCCTCGGGGCTGGGAGGGGTGGGGGGTGTGTGTTGGTCTTGTGCAGATCCAAATTAGTGGGTGGGATTTTAAGCATGTAACTTTTTCTTTGTGCTTTAAAAGTATTAAAACCTTCATCCCCACCCCCTAAGTAGGGTCTCCACCTATCTCCTTTTCTACATTTGTAAAGAAGAAGCCGGTAGTGTCTAGTGTCTATCTTGTAGGTGTGTGTGTGTGTTTTTTTAATGAAAACAAATGCCTGTGTAAACAAGTATGTGGCACGTGGTTGGCAGGTGGGTTGGAGCAAAGGCAAGAGGTGTGGTCTAAGAAGTTTGGGGGTAACTGAGAAGGAAGCCAAAGTGAGTACGATCTGTAGTTGGAGAGGAGAGGACCTGGAGGGGAATGACTATTAAGATGGGGTTCCCATCCAAACTGCAGGAAGGGTACTTTGTAGAGATGTGGTTAGGGGTTGATGAAAGGGAGGGAGGGAGGGAGGGAGGATGGGTTGATGGAACCCCCAGATCACACTTGGGGGAAATGTGTAAGGCAAAATGGTGCCTGGGCCAGGTACTTTTCATTGCATCTGCAGACTTGGAGGGCTGGAAGGCTACAGGCACTGGGGTAGGCCTATAGGTGGGCTCCATGCAGGGACAGCACTGGCAGTCAGGGCTTGGGCAGGCCAGCCCCCCAGCTCAAGATGCTCGGGCCTGACAGTACTCCCTACTTTGTCCCTGCCTCCCCAGCAGACGCAGAGATGCAGATCTTTGTGAAGACCCTGACTGGCAAGACCATCACCCTTGAGGTTGAGCCCAGTGACACCATTGAGAATGTCAAAGCTAAGATCCAAGACAAGGAGGGTAAGTTTGGGTAGCTATGGGTGCTGAGGCCTTGCCAGTGCTTTTTCTGCATAATTTCAAGAAGGCATTTTATTTCTATCTGGGTTTTCCTTCTGACAGATTGGAGTTAATGGTGGGGGGCAGGGGGCGAGGGCGAGGGGGCGCGGAGCTGCCAGTAATGCTTGCCAGAGCCTCAGTAACTGAGTTTCTCTCAATCCCCAGGCATCCCACCTGACCAGCAGCGTCTGATTTTTGCGGGCAAACAGCTAGAGGATGGTCGCACTCTCTCAGACTACAATATTCAGAAAGGTATTGTGTGTGTGTTGGCTGAACAGGGCCCCATAAAACCTGGGGCCCAGGTGGGACATTGATGTCAGTGGTGTTTTTCTTGTCTTTTTGTTTATTCTCACGGAGGATAGTTTTCCCATTGGTTTTTAGGGAGGGGGGGGGAGAAAGAAACATTGATTGGTTGCACACACCCCAAATTGTGCAGGGAAGGAACTGGAAAACCAGATATGTGCACCAAGTATGTGCCCTAGACTGGGAATAGAACACAAGACCCTCCAGTCCGTGGCTGGTGCTCTCACCATTGAGCACACTGGCTGGGGCTGTTTTGTCTTTTTAAGCTTCATCTGAAGACATGCTTGTTTGGTTTGTTTGTTTGTTAATCCTCACTCTGGGATATTTTTCCCATTGACTTTTCGAGTGGAAGAAGGGAGGGGGTGTCAATCCATTGCCTTCCCATACGCACCCAAAACTTAATTATGTGCCCTGACCAGGAATCAAACCTGCAGCCTTTTGGTGTAGGGGATGAAGCTCCAACCAACTGAGCCATAGTGGCCAGGGCAGAGGCGGGTGGTCCTTAAGGTGAGGATCAGAGGAGGTGGGGGAGACTTGCTTTTACAAGGTACTGTTTTCATCCCTGGAAAACAGTACCTGTGTTTCCAAATGGCAGTAGTTTCCCATGTTCTCGTTCACCTTATCTTTCTCTCTCTTGTTGTTAATCATCACCCGAGGATATAGTTCCCAATGATTTTTAGAGAGTGGAAAGGAGGGGTAGAGATAGACATAGACATAGACGTGAGACACATTGATGTGGTTGCCTCCCGCACTTTACCCCGACCAGGGCCGGTGATCAAGCTTGCAGTCCAAGGGCTGATGCTCTATCTATTGAGCAACCAGCTAGGGCCACCTTTTCTTTTTTAAAACGTGTTTTTTTTATTTAAAAAAAAAATGTAACTACTATACGCCCTAACCGGTTTGGCTCAGTGGATAGAGCGTCGGCCTGCGGACTGAAGGGTCCCAGGTTCGATTCCAGTCAAGGGCATGTACCTTGGTTGCAGGCACATCCCCAGTAGGGAGTGTGCAGGAGGCAGCTGATCAATGTTTCTAACTCTCTATCCTCCTCCCTTCCTCTCTGTAAAAAATCAATAAAATACATTTTTTTTAAAAAATGTAACTACTATAAAGGAAATCAGTGCCACTCTTTGCAGCAACAAGCTTTAACTGTTCTGCCTAGCAAAAATAAAAGGTCAGCCTCACACCACTTAGAAATGACCGTACCTGTTGGGAATCCAGCTGGACAGCATTGTTGGCATTTTTTTTTATTATTAGCAATAATTGTGCCTTGGATAAACCTCATTGGCTACAATACTGCCACTGCGCAAACCTATGTTGGCATTTATTAGCCTCAGACTCTCCAAGGGCTGGTGTGGCCATCACACAAAGGCTCTGCCCTGCATCTGTGGGCCAGTTGTTGGGCCCAGGATGAGTCACTGCTTCTCCCCAATCTTCATTTACTATAGAGTCCACCCTGCACTGGGTGCTGCGTCTCAGGGGTGGCATCATCGAACCTCTCCTCTCCGCCAGCTCGCGCAAAAGTACAACTGCGACAAGATGATCTGCCGCAAGTAAGCATGCTTGGGGGTGGGGCCTGGTGGAGAGCGGTCAGGTGCCCTGACCAATCCTTCCTTTCTCTGCTCAGGTGTTACGCCCGCCTGCACCCCCGTGCTGTCAACTGCCGCAAGAAGAAGTGTGGCCACACCAACAACCTGCGCCCCAAGAAGAAGGTTAAATAAGGCCCCTCCACCAACTCCTTGGGTCCACAGGGCAGCCTTCTACCTGAACCCTGTGACGCTGGGGCCTCAATAAAGTTTCTGTTTTGTTGACTGGAGCAGTAACTGGTGTCCATGTGGCTGGTCTGTCTAGTGGGGAAGGTGGCCAGGGGTGGGTATCTCCCTTGGGGACTCCCTGTTTTGTGAGTCCTTGGGTGTTCAGGTGTGGGTGGGTTCCAGAAAGTTAGGAACACCCCACCGAGTGGAAAACACCTGTTCTCAGTTTAGAATCTTTTTTTTTTTTTTTTTTAAATACACCTGAACCCTGTGACGCTGGGGCAGGGAGAGAGATAGAAAGTTAACTGGAGCAGTAACTGGTGTCCATGTGGCTGGTCTGTTTAGTGGGGAAGGTGGCCAGGGGTGGGTATCTCCCTTGGGGACTCCCTGTTTTGTGAGTCCTTGGGTGTTCAGGTGTGGGTGGGTTCCAGAAAGAGGAACACCCCACCGAGTGGAAAACACCTGTTCTCAGTTCAGAATCTTAAAAGCACACACAGGCCCCACCTGATGATTTTGGAGGGGTAAACCTTTGTGGTTTTTCATGACTTTGTATGATGCTTCTGCGAATCAGGCGAGGGCTGGATGCCCTGAGGCCATGCTTTCTTGGGACAATTGGGGCTTGGTGTATGTGACAACTTGGGCCTGGAAAATGTCTAAGAATAGCTGAGACCTGCAGTGCCAGCTAATGCTGAAATCTCAGTCACTCCTTATCTCAGTTCAGTTTCATCGGTCAAACCACACACCCCCTCCCCCCTTCTCTGCGCCAGGTCACCACCATCTTAATGATCTTCCCATTTCCACCCCTGGAGAAGGAAGCGTCTCAGGTCAAACTGGTGAATCCAGCAGAAAGTTTGGAGGCCACTTTAGTTGGCCTCACCCCTGCCCCAAGACTCCTCCCTTCAGGTTATTTATGAGGTCTTTTCAGTCTACTAAAGCTGCCTGGACCTACTTGACCTCTAATGTCAAGCTGTGTTGAAACCCCACTCTTGTCACAGTCTTGTGAGACTCTGATAGGATACCAATTTTGTGTGAGGTCGGTATGTGTTGACCTAGCATAATAAAACGCCTACAAACCAAGAGATGGCCTTGCTATGCTATACATTCAAGGACAAATGAAAGAAGGCAAAACAAGGTTGGGATGGGGGTAAGGTGTCTGGCCTGAGAAGTCCACAGTCTTCCAGTCTCCCTGCTCCGGGGGTTTCCCATGTGGCCGGCCACTGGCTGAGATCCAGAGGCCTCCGGGCCTCCAGGGGGCGCTTATCGCAACAGAGCAGCCACCCGGGCGTGGCCAGGGCTGAGCAATCATGATCACCGCCGAGGCCGAGGCTGAGTCAGCGGTCCCTACGGTGCCCGAAGCTGGGACAGTCAGAGGAGACCCAGAGCTCAAGGAACCAACATGGCCTTGGGTGAGCCCGGGGCCCGAGCAGGAACGGGAGCGGGGTGGGTGGTACAGGTTCGGGAGCGCCGGCTTCATGCCCAGCCATGCCCCCTGCTCCGTAGAAAGATGCCCCGATCCGGGCGCTGGTGCAGCGCATCCACCAGTTGCAGGCTGAGCGTGCGCAGGCCTTCCACCGCCTGGAGGAGTAAGTGGCAGCGCCGGGGTCGCAGGGTTCAGTGCCCTACCTGCTCCGGAGGGAGGCAGGCCGGGGCCAGAGCTGGATCCCTGTGCAGCTGCTGGGGCCCAAGCGGGGTGGGGTTTGCGAGATGACTCAGGGTGTATCTCCACTTCCCCAGGTCCCACCCAGCGGGGTGACTCTCCCTTCCCCAAGCTCAGCGGAGTGTCTTGGGTTCCTCTGCAGGAGTCATTGTCCTCCACACACGGGTCCAGGGACACTTGATAGGGGGTAGGGCTTTCAGGTGGCCGATGGGGGTGCAGGGCCTGTGAGCCTTGGGGCGTAGCCTCAGTACCCACCCTGCCGCAGAGGCCACCACCAGTACCTGCGCAGCGGCCCGCCATACGACTTCCCGAGCTACCGGAGCACAGTGCACGAGGTGACCCAGGCCTTCGCCGCTGCCTCCAGGGAGGTGCTGGCGGTGGAGGCCGAGCTGGCCGGCCCTAGAGCGCAGCCGCTGCTCGCGGGCCACGTGCGAAGCCTACAGCAGCTGGAGCAGACACGCCTGGCCACGGTGAGGCCCTGCCCCCTACTCCAAACGTAATCTCTCCCTCGGTGGCCTGCTGGGTCCACTCTGGGCCACATAGTCGAAAGGCCAGAAGATC